CTTTGCATATTGCTTACTTCTCAGAATCGACATGGACCTTCGTCACTTCTATGTTCTTTGATCTACACTTCTGCTTCACCAAAAAATCGGATCACCAACGGAAGGTTAAACACTTGATAGGATCCGTGCTCTTCTCCTGTAGTATATACGCTCCAGTCCATTTCTAAAATACAAACCCCCGAGATGCGGTGGTGTTCACATACCCAGCCCCATAACCGCCCCCGTCAGCCGCTGCGCCACGTCGTCAGGCTCTTGTCGTGCCATCTCAATGATCGTCAACAGCTTCTTGATGCCGATCTGGAACTTCGAGGACATCCCATCACCGTCGAGGCCCGCATCGTGCAGCAAGTTGATGGCCTGCCGCCGCTCTTCGGACGACGCGAAGAGCTCGACCTCGCGGAGGACGAACTCGAGTGAACGCAGATTGGAGATGGGGGGCACGCGCAGCTCGGTATCGAAGGTTTCCGAGAATCCGATGTCGGTGAGGATGGAACGTTGTGAGGAGGTTGCGATAATGAGTAGACGACGGCCCTGGGAACGATGAGGATGTTACTGGAATGTAAGTATCAGCCTTACCTTGGGTGGCCTCCGCCCGAACAACACCAAAAGCGCCTGGAGCACTGGATTTGAGAATCGTGCCCCCATAGGTGTCCAATCTGAAACAAAGGATAAGCATCATGGACTACATCGTACTGGTAATATCTTTGCTCACCAATGAGACGCTCAATGTTATCTACAACGACAACACTGAGAGGACTCTTGTAAGAATCTGCGAAGACCTTGGTAATCGCGGCGACTTTCTGGCTCTCGGAGAATCCAACCATGCTATCAGGAGAGATGAGCTTGATGAAGGGGAATTCTGACGCTTGTGCGATCGATGCGCCGAGCGCAGTTTTTCCAGCTCCAGGAGGGCCATGGAGGAGTACACTGACAAGAGGCGTGCGTGTTGATGTTCGCACTTGTTCCACCAAGAGTTCTCCAGATCGCAATATTTCCTACAGATAATTGTGAGGGGAGTAAGAATGTGGTGCAGATTGGGCTCACATCAACAACAGTATCAAAGTGAATGATCCCGTTCTGAATGACTTGCTGCAGCTCCTCCTCAGAAACACCAAACGCAGGGTGCACTTCGCTCAGCGCATTCATAAAGTCACCCCGGTTGACCCGCAAGTTCTCAACATCATCAGAGATACCCGCCATCGTGCCAACCTTGACATGTCGGTTAAACGCGAAACTCGTCGCGCTCTTGATGAGACCGCCGATCTCAGCCCCGGAAAAGTTCTTCGTCTCCGCGGCGAGCTCCTTCAAGTTGACGTCGGACTCCATTACTTTGTTCGTGCGCATCTTGGCGGTGTGGATGTTGAGGATCTGCCAGCGACCATTTTCGTCCGGGAGGGAAATCTCCATGTGCACCTCGAGACGACCGGGGCGGAGGAGGGCCTCGTCGATCATGTCTAGACGATTCGTCATGCCGATGATGAGGATGTTGTTGAGTTTGTCAACACCGTCCATCTAAATTATACATTAGCATGATACTTATAAGGAGAAAGGAGATTTTGTGCGTACTTTGGAGAGAAGCTGATTCACGACACTGTCGCCGACACCAGTGCCGTTGTTTGTCGAGCCACGCTGCTTGAAAATTGCATCTAACTCATCGAAGATGATGATGTGCAGGCCACTGTCGTCGCCCTTCTCTTTGTACTACAAGTCGGCTTATCAGCCCACATTCGCCGCAGTTGTGAAACCAAAAACTAACCTCCTTTTCCGCGTCACCAAAGAGCTTACGAATGTTCTCTTCAGAAGCACCAACATATTTACTCAAGATTTCGGGGCCGTTAACAATCTTTGGTTCTCTTGCGTTCAGCATCTTGCCGATCTGCCGCGCAATGAGAGTCTTTCCTGTTCCGGGAGGACCGTGAAGCAAGATTCCTGATACGACGTGTGAGTTATCTCGCACATAGGTCTAGTGAAGTCACAAATACCCTTGACGTGCTCGATGCCGAGTTTCTCGACGAGTCCAGGAGGGAAGACACGCGACGCGAATGCACGACGGAAGATTTCGCTGAACTCCGTGTCAAGACCTCCGATACCCATGTCCTCGAATTTGAAGTTAGGCGCTAGGATCGCATTCGGCGGGGCCCTATTGCAATGTTACGTCTATATTTTCGAGAATCTTATCGAATCTTACTTTTTGGCGCTCGACTTGATCTTGATAGCACTATCAGACGCCTTCATGAATGTCACGTCGGTCTTCTGCATCACAATACCAAAGTTCTGCTGGCGACCCGATCGCTGCTCCACGGGCGGGGCTCCACGCCGTTGCTCGTCGGCCAAGTCTAAGGTGCTGACAGCCTTGACGATAGCCTTGAGGTTCTGGCCGTGGTATTCGAACACAAGGATCTCCCCAACAGACATGACAACGCCGTTGTGTGCCGACATGAAGTTACGCGCCATGTCGTCGGCAGAGAATTGTTCTGCAATCTCAAGGCCACGGCGGAGGAAGCCCACCTCGAGGTCGATGGACTGCAGGTACGCTGGGGCGGACGGATGTGGGGGTGGCGGAAGGATATCGACAGAGACCTGGTCTCCGCTGAGCGACAAACCGATCCATTGTCGCTGGGTTGCAGACGCGCCGATCGTGCCCGGCTGGATTTTGTTGGTGGTGTCATGTCTAGAATACGTTTAGAAATATAAATGGAAGCGTGTCAATTGAGTACCTGACGGTTATTGCGAACTCTCCCTTCACAAGTACATGTAGGCCTTGCTGAAAATCTGACGGGTGGACAATCAAGCAGTTTGTCAAAGCAAGTGCATCGCTGGGCGCCCCAACTACTTGATAGCTAAGACTGGGCGTCAATAGTACCTCTTGGACGTAATTATCTCGAGACATACCTCCCACCTGAAGGTGGTGGTGGTCTACGGCTGGTATAGCTCTTCTCGAACAATGCATTTGAAGGATCGTTGTACTGCACAGGTGGTGCATTGTACTGTGCCGACTGAGGTGGTGGTCGCATGCCTGACCTCGGTCCTGACGGTAAATGATCACGGTGGTGCTGATCTGGGACACGGCTGTAGGCCCCAGGCGGTGGCGTCGAGGGATTACTGCTGCGATTGAAGAATGACATGGTGGTTGTGGATTAAGAAGGGTATTGCAACGTGTAGCGATCGTGCCTCTATTTATGATAAAGTTAAAAGTAAAGCGGAAGTGCACAGTCAATTCACTGCCACGCCTCGATCACTTTGGATTCTGATGACAGTGATCGCGGAGGTGAGCCTGATTACGTACTGTAACTACACCTTTCAAGGAGTCCTCCACAGGTCCTCCATCACTGGAGTTGACGACTTTCGACAACTTGTGCCAATGGCGTCCATGACGCCGGCGGTGGACAACGCCACCCTCGAACCCCTGCCGGTAGATGCGTCTTGCGAGCTCCTAGGACCAACTGCACTCGTAGGCCTCTCGATCCCACTTTCGTCATAGATTTCTGATAGTATGTATTTTATTGCAGGTGGTGCAAGGTGTCCTTGGGGTTTTCGTTATTCTTTCGCTGCTATATAAACGTCATAGAGAGCCACGGAAGCGTCCGTGGAGGATATGGCAAGTTCCTGGCCGATGCTGGCACAATGTCGCGTTGACGGACTCTCCTCACCCAGGATTTTCGATGTATCTAAACAAGTCGTGGGCCAGATGTTCGTCCACGGTGCTAATGTCCTCGCTTCTGGTGTCATCTCGGAATTCACCTCGGGGAATGCATGCGTTTTCTACTTCCTGCATATTTTGCTCGACACAACCCTTGGTGAGTTCAACCCCGCAACATCATCATATGATTTTAACGTGAGTCATAGGTGTTGCAATATTATATGTCATTCTCTATGCTACGAGCAATGTTCTCGTGGACAGGCTGCAGTGGAAAGGCTTCGAGTCGGGCGTGTACGGCACTCCACCCTCGATCAAATTCTGGGCCCGACAAGCAGCTGTCTATGTTCTTGCACTCACGACGATGAAAATCGTTGTGATCATAATAATCGTTATGGCCCCCGGCACATTTAGGTTTGGGGAATGGCTGCTGAGCTGGACACACGTCGGAAGCGGCGACTCTCTCCAGGTCATATTGTACGTCCTGTGTTGTCCTTGGAGACTATTAAATTCACCCTGCCATCTTAGCACGATGGGAATATTCCCCATCATCATGAACGTCCTTCAATTCTGGTTGATCGATTCCATAGTCAAGGCATCCACCAAAGCCGTAGCATTAGACGACGACGTTTCCGATGCTCCTCACGATCGAGAACCCCTCTTCCGTGCGCCGGATGAAGATGACGATGACGACTACCGGCATAACGACATCGAGCACGCACGTCCTCAACACCCCTCTCCCTTACGACGCAAGTCATCCCTGGACTCAACATCTGACGAGTTCAAAAGTGGTACCACCTCACCAAATGACGAGGCAGCCGACCACTCCTATCCACCAAGTCTCTCCAACAGCGTCTCCTCCGGCGGCAGCTCCCAGCCCCGTCCCGCCAAAAACCTGCTGAAAAATGCGAAGCGGCGGGCCGCACCAGCGCCTCTCAGCGTAACCACCGACTACCCCCCCGCAGTCAATTCGCCAGGTGTGCTCCTGTCGTCTGCACAGCCGATAATGCATGTGCCGCTGGCACCGGCGCGCAAGATCGAGGTGGTGTCGGATAATACAGCCGATGCGTGGGCGGACACATGGGATGAGGAGGATGATTGGGCTAATAGGGTCGGTGAGGAAGATTGGACGGGGAGGAGGATAGAGCATAAGCAGAGTACGCTGAAGAATGTGTGGGATGCGGACCCTACTCTACATGTCAGGTCATAGCATTTCCAGTACAGGGTCTTTTGTACATTATAAGGCTTAACTACATAATACACTTACGCCCCTCAAATTGCAATGCCGATGTGTACACTCTGGATGTTTTTTTTGCATAGGAAGCTGGGCAAAAAGTTACTTCATTTAACTTGTAAACATAATAACCCCCGGCGGGACTCGAACCCGCAACCTCCAGATATAACAAGACAGGATGCAAGTTAGAAGTCTGACGTCATAACCATTAGACAACGGGGGCGTGGTATTGTTCGCTTGATATCTATATTAATGGCTGGCTAAGATTTGATCGGGCTGTAGTCATCCCCGTGCAACTTTGAGGGTTCACATGTGTGCGGTGTCTTTTTGACATCGACGACATCATGAACGTTTCAGCGCCGTCGTCGTCCATGACGACGAACATGGCCCTTTCGTCGTCGCCGGACTCGTTGAGGGACCCCACGAATCCATTGACCAACTCTCCTGTTCTTCGCCGCTCCAGCGATGCCAGTGACCTCACCAATCGCCTCCGCCACTCCCCTATCCTCCCGCGGTCCTTTGACCCCGAGGCCCGCGAGCGTCAGCGCACAATGGACGTCGACATGGCTATGCATCTTTCTCGAGCACGTCGAGAAACAGACCTCGGCTCACCCGAGATATCACCCCTCCCCGAACGGACTCCGCACGTTGAAGAAGAGGAGGAGGAGGAACATGTCCACCTTGGTCAGAGTGCTATCCACCCCGACGCTGAGGAAGAAATTTTGGGTCCCAGCCCGAACATCTCTCGTATAGACCTCACCAATATGCATCTCAATCAGACACACGATGCATCTTTATTGGCACATGCTGCCCCTATCAGAAACGATCCGAATACAGAGTCGCTTTTTGGCCTACCCACATACCAGGCCAATGTTTCCCGGTCAGATTTCGATTTCAGCCCTATGGAGGAATTTGCTGCGGCAGAAAAGGCCACTCTCGGCCTCACACCCACGGCCAAGTTTACTTTGGATGCGGTTCACTTTCCTCGACGAGTACCACCACCTACAGAAGAAGGGCAAAGCGAAGCAGGTCCCTCAACTCTCCTAGAACAACTATCACCACCAGTTCAATCACCCGAGACCGATGGCGAAGCCTCCATCCGCCCTAGCAGCAGCACCGCCCGACAACGCAAGCTCAGCCACTCCAATCCACATCCGCGCTTGCACCGTAAAGGCATTGGTGGGAAAATGGCTTTATTCGAAACCCCCCATGATGCGGCCGGCGGCGTCCCCTCCCTTGCTTCCCGTCTCTCCATTGGCCTCGGCAGACATCCAACTATCACCAGTGCATATGACGGAGGCGCACAGCCCACTGGTGGAATTCTGCATACGGGGCACGACCGACCATACCGCTTCTCGTTTTACTCCAATGCGCTTGCTGCGACGATCCATGCGAGAAGTCTCAGCGAGTTACCGGCCGACGGACAGACGTTCGAGCAGCTGTTTATAGGGGTGCACCCGGAGGGCAGCGGCGGCGAGGGGCTTGCAAATGGCCCGAATGGGCATCCGCCTCCGTTCCGGGATGGGTACTTTAGCGGGGCGAACGGGCAGACCGGGCACAATGGGAACAGGAGGTCTGCGCACATAGACCAGAAATTGGCCATGGGGCCTGGGCCGGCTGGGGGTAATGGGAGTGCGGGCGATTCGGATGACCGGACGTGGTGGCTGGATGTGATGTCGCCAACGGATGATGAAATGAAGATGCTCAGTAAGGTGTGTCTCGTATACCTCTCACTGCATTTTGTTCGGTCCTGAGCTGGTCTATTAGGTCTTCTCTATCCATCCCTTGACGACAGAGGATATTCAAATGGAGGAGACGCGTGAAAAGATCGAGCTTTTCCGTAATTACTATCTTGTGTGTTTCCGTAGTTTCGACCAAGATCCGTACAGTCCGACATACCTCGAACCTCTCAACATGTACATCATCGTCTTCCGCGAAGGTATCCTTTCGGTACGTACTTCCCGCTGTGAGTTTACCTTTGGCTCAACTAACTTGCATCCAGTTCCATTTCCGTCCCACTCCGCATCCACAGAACGTTCGAAGGCGCATAAAGCAGCTAAAGGACTACATCGCCGTCACCTCTGATTGGATTTCCTACGCACTCATCGATGACATCACCGATGCGTTCGGTCCGCTCATCCAGAGCATCGAGTACGAGGTCGACTCCATCGACGAACTAGTGCTGATCCTCAAGGAGGCGGAGCAGAGTGACATGTTGAGGAGAATTGGGACGTGCCGGAAAAAGGTCATGGGCCTGCTGAGGCTGATGGGGAACAAGGCGGATGTCGTCAAAGGACTGGCGAAGAGGTGTAATGAGAATTGGAGAGTAGCTCCTACGTCCGATATCGTGAGTCGCTGTCGTGTTCGATGCTGAGATCGCTAATTTTACTTCGTCATGCAGGGACTTTACCTCTCAGATATTCAGGTAGCGTCCGCCCCTTTCTATGAACTTCATCCTTCTCACTTCCTGCACACAGGATCATTTGATCACGATGACACAAAACCTGAACCACTACGAGAAGATTCTATCACGCTCGCACTCTAACTACCTCGCCCAGATCTCCATCGAGATGACCGACGCAAACAACCAGATTAACGACGTCCTTTCAAAACTCACAGCACTCGGTACTGTGCTCATCCCCATGAACTTGATCACAGGTTTGTGGGGAATGAATGTGCATGTACCCGGGCAAGACGTTGAAGTGTGTGAAATTCATTCTTTCGATACCCGCGTAATCTGACACAAGTAAAATTAATAGCAGGGATACGCGTGGTTCATATCAATCGTGGCATGTCTAGCAGCCTTTGCGCTGATTGGTGGGTATTCGACCTATCGCTTCATGGTTAGCCGAGCTTAGAACTTGTCTCGGACTTTCATGACTTACCATGATGCACATAACGTGCATGGATACTGCATATATTTTCTCTGTTCCCTCCGTGCGCGCAGATATGTTATCTCGAGATACTTAATACGTTGGGTTGGCTTCTTCATTTGGTCTCTGCATCAATACACGACCATGTGATATTCGCCACGTCGGAGTTTTAATATCACATGACCGCGTCCATAACACAACTGCCAGTGCCAGCCTCAACCTCTCTTCAACTTAAACCACCAGCATGTCTCGTTTACTCGCCTTTAGTAGTTGTCTTTACTTCTTCGCTGTCGCTTCGGCGTCTAGTGTCCCCGCCCTCGCCTCTCTCACTCGCCCTCCTTCGACCGCCTTCCCTACCGCCACCGCCACTCCTACCCTAACCGCCTTCTCAACTTCAACCGCCTTGAGCGCTTCGAACCTCCCTCAGTCCACCTTCTCTGCCCGTGCTTCCCACTACGAAATTCCGGATACGACAGCCCTGGATGGCCCAGTCTTTCGGAAAAGCCTTTACAGCGACCGGCTTTCTCTATCAGAAAACTACGCGAATGTGTATCATATATCGATAACTTGGATCAAACGGGCATCCCACCAAGTGGGATCTTACCTGTACTCCCTGGATCACGTCACTATCTGCAACATCGTCCTTCGTGCGGCTGTCCGCTCCCTGACACCTGGTTTCGAGATTCGGTTGATCGATTCGGGCGCGTGGCAAAGAATATCCGACGACGTCGCTGCTGCCGCCTTTGCTAGAGAGTCGATCTTACAGCTCCCCGCCGCAGCCACCTCTGACAACGACGAGTTCGAGTTCAACATGCCAACTCACCTGCCCACACTCAAGGACATCGACTATGGGATCAAGTTCGTCGTCGCGCACATGGACGCCCCGTCTCTTCTCTCTCTAGGGCTGCGCGCTGTGGTGACATACTTCGACCCCGAGGATGTCATGGATACTTCTAGTGCAATGGCCATGATTGACGACTGCTTCCATGTTGTCTTCCGCTCTCATCGTCCGCCGTTCCACAGAGTTGGCGAGGTTCTCCAGTCGCTGGATACTGTCTTCCCCTCGCTTGAACTCCCTTCGTTTGTCGCGAGGCTTCCTCACCGAACTCTTTTGTCGCTGGGCTCCATTGAGCCGCCAACAGAAGATCAAGAGCCCACTGGTCGACGCAGCCGAGTCCTCTATTCTCGCCCTGTTCCCTCAAGCGACAAAGACATCGTCGACTTCATGGAAATCCCGACACCCCCTACACCTTCTGAAGAGCCGGTCAGCCAGAGTCGACACGCCAAACATTGGTTCAAGGGACTCAGTGGTCATGTGATCGTAGAAGACGAGTCGCCCGACAGCATACTCCGCGACGCCCTCTATATCATCGTCTCTTTCCTCAGTGGTGGCGGTGTCATCCTCGCCGCTGGGAAACGTAAGGTCAACGGGCAACTCACGGAAGAACAAATTTGTCAGGACTTCATCAAGTTGCACGTGTTGAAAAGCTTGTCTTACCTTCCATGGGAGCGCCGTGTAAAGCTTTTGAAGATCCTCGTCGCCAACAAGCCTACTCGGTTTACGACACTCAAACCTGGCTACAAGATCGCGATCAAGGCGAGTAGACCAGAAGCTCAAATTGCGGCGCACATTACGCGGCTTGTATGCGCTATGACGCCGAGTCGACGGAAGGAACTTGCTGAGGTCCTGGCGATCGCTTCACTTCCTCCTGATAGTGCCAACACTACCACGCCCGTGGTGCCTGCCGACAACGTCGCTCCTGCCACTCCACCGCCACCAATACCACCTCTACCTCCTGGTACCCTGCCACCTACTGTCCCGGGTCCCTCATCAACCACAAATGGGATAGAAACGCCTTCACCGTCAGTAACACTGCCCCCGGCTACCCCACCGCCTGCTATGCCGGAGCCAGAACCAGCGACAACTAGGACGCCGCCGACTCTACAATTGCAGGCGGTCGACCCCCATCCCTAGCGACAGCAAAACACGGAGGAATTGAACCGAGGGTGCGGGGTGTGTTATGGGCTTGGAGCGAGGATGCCAGGTGCTGACGAGTATCCTGACATCCCCACTACAAACTCATACACGCCATGGGCCTTCCGCATCTGTTCCTCCCACACCCTTCCATCAACTACACACAAGGTATGTTTCTTTCTTCTTTCGTTTCGACGTTGTTGTACTGACAAGAACCCTCAGATGCCTGCTTATTGAATCGAATATATCATCCATAATCTTATACCATGCACCCCTTGCCTAGAACACAGGACATCTACTGCCCACCATTTATGTATCTAATAGTTTGCTGTAGCGCTGTCGCAACTGTGTAGTTGTGTTCTAGACTTGCTATAA